TTATTCCTGGAGGCTCCCAAGGCACGTCATTGTGTGTACAGGGCCCAGCCAGGTGGAGGCACAGCCAATTTTAGTTTCCTTTACAAGTAAAAGGACTGCAGCGGAGGGATGGGTAGAGGATTCCCTCCTATCCAACATCACCATTGGGATACTGCTTTACTGTCAACAGCATCAGGTGCCCGGGCATACAGGCAAGTGTTGCCAGCTGCCGACTAACCCAGGGAGGAAAGCGGGGGGAGGGAGGAAAGAGGAGTGAAGGGGGTCTACACAAGGAATGCAGTTTACATCCGCTCTACTTTTGTTTCTGCTTCTGCCAATGGGAGTGCAGTTGGGGTGGGGTCAGCTGGCCCCGGTGGCCAATGGCAGGACAGGGAGTAGATTTGAAGTGCTGCAGGGTTGGGTGGAGGCACAGGCACAGAGCCCAGGCAGTGTTTGGTGAAGGCAGGTATAAGGCAGGGGAGGAATAGAGCTGAGGCAGGATGCTCTCTAAAATTAACTAGAAACTGTTGGTCAGCATGCTGGGTTCTCTAATCTAATGTTTCTGTTATCAGGAATAGAAACGAAAGGGAGAAAAACACACCAGTAAAACAGGACACAGCCTTGGAGGCTGTAGTGAAAGCCATGGCCACTGGCTGGAACAGAGGTAAAGATGCAGAGAGAGAGAGTGTGTGTGTGTGTGTAAATATATACATATATGCTTGTGTGTCTATATCCATACAGTATAAGTATGCATTTATATGTGTTAAAGCCTATATGAATATATGGGCATATATATGTATGTGCATCTGTATGGCTGTTGTGAATCTATGTATATAATATATAGTAGATACCTCCAGTCTGTTTATCTGTGTGAGTTTATTTATACCCCAACTGTATTTTAGTTACTTTATCTTTATTAAAAAGTTAGTAAGTGACAATAAAATGATTTTCTTGCTTAAATCCCAAAAGAGTGCTTCTTACAAAAACAAACGGTGAGAGAATACAGCAGAGCTGAGGCAGTCTAGGTTACAAATTACAAGAGATACATGTACAATGTTATAGAAAAGATGTATATATTTTTAAATTAGTACATCCCATTGGACCCATCTTCCCTCAAACAGCCCAGATTTTTGTGTGTGTCTATATCTGTGTGTCTGTCTGTATGGGCTTATCTGTATTAGAAAACTTGCACCAGTGTAACTAACTAGTTACACTGGTGCAAGTTTCTCTATAGGTATGTGCATGTGTTCTTTCTGGGCCTGATCCAAAGTCCATTGAGGTCAAGGGGAGTCTTTTCACTGATTTCAATGGGTTTTGGATCAGGCCGTAGGTGAGTATGTGTCTGTGCATGTCTGGACATGTTTTGACTATGCCTATGTGTGGGCTCCCAGATTGAGTTGAAAATGGTAGAATCATGAAAATGGCAGACAAGAAAGTACTGATGAAGGAATTTTAAAGATACAGATTCTTTGTTACGACTATCTCCTGGTGCTGAGGAGGAAATGAGAAGTTTAAAAGTGTCCAGTGCAGTTTGCTCTCAGTGTTCACATGGCATGTCAATCCTGTTTTGTCTCATTGAGATTCTCAATACAAATAACAAGGGATGGTTATTCTGTTCCAAAACAGAACCAACCTGAGCATGTCACCTGAGAAATCTCCAATTTTAAAACACTATTAATTTTATTTTCAAACTTATTACTGGCAGCATCCACATTTTAAAATAAAATAAAAGTTTAAAAAAAGAAGAAAGGAAAGAACAGATATTTTGGGCATCGGTGGGATCTTACAGTTATAAATGACATTTTGAGGGCCTGAGTCCCGTTGATTTCAATGAACTTTGGACCATGTCCTAGATATTATTATTCATGTTATTTTATTATTTATTAATAATGATGATTTTTCACTATTCCATAGTAAGTAATGGGCAGTCTCCCTCCCTCACTCATGATTAAATTAGTGGCCATATTGAGGGCCAGAATGATCCCTTATCCACCTCCACTATCCTCAGGATACTGCACATTAGCAGGGAGTTGCTTTCCTCAGGAGTTCTGATTAGAAATTGTCCATTGAGAACAATTGAGGGCCACATGGTCCCAGGGAGGATGCACTGGGAGGCCTCCCTTTTCCTGTCTTCCCCTGTGTTTCTCTCTGTGCACCAGGTGACTCTATTCTCTTTCCCACAGATCATGTATCCAGAGGCATCACACAGGGGTGAGAATGAAAGCTCCATACCCACATCCTCCTCATGATTTACAGAGAAAGAGGGAGCTGAGAAGATTCAGATCTCACTCCCCTCTCATCAGTGTGATACTGGATTTAACTCTCCATCTCTTTCTTTTCTCCCATCACTATCTCTGAATCTCCCTCTATCCTTCTGTGAGTTCCCTTTCCATTTATCTGTGCCTCCTTCCCATCCCTCTCATTTTTAACTTTCTGTGACTGGCAAGCTCTTAGCGATAAAGCTGCAGTCAGTGACTCATGGGATCTCTCATGTTTCAGGGGGAAGATACTCCAGGAGACATTTATAGACAGTTATGACCCAAGTGTCCTTCGAAGGGTGCAATACATGCTCTATGAAATCAAGTGGAGCAATAGCAAAAGGTCCTGGCAGAGCTGTTGCCATAGCACTCGAACAGAGCATGCTGAAATCCACTTCATAGAAGATGTCTTTCAGGAGCAAAGATCTGATCCTTCTGCCCACTGCTCCATCACCTGGTACATGTCCTGGAGTCCCTGTGGGTATTGCTGCAAGCAAATCAAGGATTTCCTGAAGGAGCAGCCTAATGTGAATCTGGTTATTTATGTAGCACGGATCTACTGGCACAAAAGGGAAATCAATCGTCAGGGTCTACGGAGCCTGATGAACATTGGAGTGTCCATCCGAGTCATGGACCTCCCAGGTAATGACTCATGGAGTTATGGGGACTACATGGGATAGAGATGAGACATGGGGCATTTTTCTTCTAAGTCTCTGGTTCCAATTCAGCCCTGGTCAGTGGCCATGGATGGCTCCATAGAAGTTGTAGAATGGATTATGGAATCTTATCACTTCTAGGTCAGTGGTTCCAGTCTGGCCGCAAGTCTTGGGGGATAGTGTAGTGGGATTCAGAGCTTTTCCCCTTTAGGTCTCTGGTTTCAAACCTTTCCCTGAGTGTCGGTGACCAAAAGCTAGTAGCTGACAGCCATTTTTTGACCTATTTGAAATGTGCTGGTGTTTGCAGTCCAGTTCCTAGCAGTACAGATAAAAATCACTAAAATCTCCATCCCTGCTGGCAGTTGCTGATCCCCTTGTCTCAGCAGAGAGGCTGAGGCATGAATGAGCCATGAAGAGTCATACTTTTTACTGCTAGAGGCGGGAACTCGGAGCTGAGGCACACTGCTGAGCTGTGTGCGTGGGTGAAGCTGGTATGGCACTGCCTCTCTCTCTAGTGGTCTATTCAGGGAATAAACAGAGAACACCAGCCTCCTTCCTGGCGCAGTCCATCTGCCATCTTTCAATTTCATTTGAGAACATAGTATTGTATTGGGATGTGTAGCAGGGCGATGACTCACTGGCACGGTGCCTCCTGCTGGTCGTCCTGGAAATTAGCTCTCCAGCTCCAGAGCGCCCTCTGCTGGCTGATGTCCCGCTTGCCTCAGGCCCCCGTGTCCCTCCTGGACCCCGGTGCCCCTTACCTCAGGGTTCTGCCCTCTACAGTACCCCCACAGTCTGGGTCTCCCCTCCCAGGGGACCCCCCAAACTTCTATCCCCACCTTGCCTCAGCAGCTACTGCCAGTCATCATCTAGCCCCCGCACACTGGGGCAGACTGCAGTCTGTGAACCAATCATCATGGGCAAGGGGGGTTTGGACCTGCTGCCTTTGCCTACCCCTGGGCTGCCCCTCTGCAACCCCAGTACCAGCTTTAGGCCTTCAACAAGGCCTGCAGCCTGGGGAATTGCTAGGCTAGAGCAAGAGCTCCCCAGCTCCTCTGGCATTCCCCCAGCCCTGCTCTACCTCAGGTACCTTGCTCAAATCCCAGACAACCAAGTCCTTCTCTTTTCACTGCTAGAAGGAGACTCTTTCTCAGCCTTTGCCTCACAGCCTTTTATAGGGCCAGCTGTGGCCTGATTGGGGCATAGCCCCAGCTGTGGCTGCTTCCCCAATCAGCCTCCCTTATTGGCTTCCCGGAGCAGCCCTTTCCCAGGGCTGTTTTAACCCCTTTGGGGCCGGAGCGGGGTAACCACCCCGCTAAAGGATGTCTTTGCAGCTTTTTTCTAATCTACCCCCAGAGTAAAATCAGCTCACCCACTGATAGTGTGCTGCTGCTGCTAATCATGAACAAATAGATGATATTTTACTCTCCCCTCAATACATAAATGACTTGTCCCAGGTGAATAAGTGAGTGAAATGTTGCAAGGCTGGTTTAATTAGACCTTCCCTGGACAGAAAGATGGACAAGGCCAGGAGAACATGAGGCCCAAATGCTGTAGTGTCCTCAGCTGGTCCTGCCTAGCTGAAGCATTTTGTATGGCTCAAATTAGTCTTGCTCCCCTGAGATTGACTGGCCTTTGTGTATACTGAGTCCACTGATACCTCCTTCAGCACATGACTGATTTGCTCCATTTTCCCAGTTTATAGCTACTGTTGGAGAACATTTGTCAATGATGAGGACAAGTATGAAGATGATTATTGGCCCAGGCACTTTGCTCCATGGATAATGCTATATTCTCTCGAACTCCAGTCCATCCTTCAGGTCAGTGGAACTTTAGGGAGGGGGAAAGTGCATCCAGAAATGATCCACAGTCACATGCAGAACCCATTTTCTGAACTGGACATTTCCTTGACCTCCTTTGAAATCTCCCTGGTTCTGTCAGAGTTTTTCCTGCAGCTGAGTTATAACACATGGTGATTCCCAGATGAGCTCATGGGGATGCTAAAAGGACAGGAAAAGGTTCTTCACATCTTTTGTGGAGTTTAAACACCTCTGGGGTTTGCTTTATTGCAAAGCAGTATAAATGTAAAAAGGGTCCTGTTCTTTTTAAGGGACAAACACAACAGGGTTTTCCTCAGCCAAAGTATAAAGCAAAGGTTTAGAGCAGGGGTGGCCAACCTGAACCTGAGAAGGAGCCAGAATTTACCAATGTACATTGCCAAAGAGCCACAGTAATATGTCAGCAGACCCACATCCGCTCCCCAGCCCTCAGTGCCTCCTGCCTGCCCTCACCAATCAGTGCCTACTCCCCCTCCCAGCGCAATCAGCTGTTTCACTGCGCAGGAGGCTATGGGGGGAGGGGAGAGGAGCGAGGGCATGGCAGGCTTTGGGGAAGGGGTGGAGTGGGGGCAGGGCTTGGGGCAGAGCAGGGGGTTGAGCAGTGAGCACCCCCCTGCACATTGTAAAGTTAGCATCTATAGCTCCAGCCCCGGAATCAGTGCCTAGGTAAGGAGCCGCATATTAACCTCTGAAGAGCCGCATGAGGCTCCGGAGCCACAGGTTGGCCACCCCTGGTCTAGAGCATGGCTAGGCAAGTTCCGGACAGGGAAACCCCCCCCGAGTTCTCCTCTCAGATCCCATCCTCGACCTAGAGACCTTTCTTCCTGACCCTCCCTTGCAGACTCGACTTCCAACTCTACACAGCACATCCTTCTCTCAGGGCCCGTCTACAATAGCAAAACTGTTGTCAGGCCTCCCATCCCCCAATCAGAGCAGGTTAACCCCTTTCCTTGCCAACGTCTGGATGGGGTTTATATTCCCTCCCAGTAATGGGGCCATAGAATGTTTCATTGAACTCCCCTGAAATCTCCTCCATTTCCAAATCACCAGTGTCAGCGGTTGATCTGTAATCCACAATCAGAGCATGATGAGTAGAGCTGGTCAAAGAATGGAATTTCTGTTCTGTGGGAAATTCCAAGGTTTTCTTTCATTCTACATTGGAACAAACCCGAGATCTTTTGAATTTTTTTGTAACCACTATCTGGAGGTGAAAGCAAGCAAGCACACCCACTGCAAAAAGACAACAGCCTGCTGACAAGAGCAGTGCTTCTCAAAGTCGGGCCGCCGCTTGTTCAGGGAAAGCTCCTGGCGGTCAGGGCCAGTTTGTTTACCTGCCGCGTCCACAGGTTTGGCTGATCACGGCTCCCACTGCCCATGGTTCGCCGTCCCAGGCCAATGGGGGCTGCGAGAAGGGGTGCGGGCCGAGGGATGTGCTGGCCGCCCTTCCCGCAGCCCCCATTGGCCTGGAGTGGTGAACCGCGGCCAGTGGGAGCCGCGATCGGCAGACTGGACTGCCGGGGGCTTTCCCTGAACAAGTGGCGGCCTGACTTTGAGAAGCACTGGACTAGAGCACACATGTGGAAGACCTAGGTTCAAGTCCTCACTCTGAATTAGACAGAGTAGGGACTTGGACCTCAGTCTGCTATATCCCAGGTGAATGCCCAAACCACCAGGCTACTGGCTATTCTGGGAAGGGTATCCTCCCTCTGTCTTTCTCTCTTTAAATGCCATTCTGGCCTTGAGAAACCTTCCTGGCCAAAGCTTCATCATAATAGATATATTTCTGAAAGACATTTTGGTTTCGATGAATCTGCATGTTCTGATGAAAAATTGTTTAGTTGGAAAACTCCCAACCAGTTCTAATGATGAGTCCCTGTGACCATTAAGCATGCCATGGCACTCCTTTGAACTCACCCTGGTTCTGAATGAGATTTGAAGCATGGTGATTGCATTTACTGTGAGTTCCTGCCATGCCCATTAAATCCCAAAGTGAGTCTAAAGTACAAATGTTAAACTGCCAACCTCCCGAAAAGAAATTAACTTCAGCTCCCATTTTTCTCATCAGGACATTCCCTCTTGCTTAAAGATTTCATCAGATGAGAATTATACTCCAGTTTTCAGCCTATGTGTAGAAGATGAGGAACAGAAAAGAGCACTCACATCATACAATACCTATTAGCCGCCAGTATCCTGGCCTGGGCAGCCAACCAGTCTCTGGAAGCCATGAGTGTCTTGAACCAGGCCATCAGCTGCTAAGCAACAGAAACCAGTTGACAGGAAACATCAACCACATTAAAACTCCAGAACTGTGGGAGGGGAAGAGGATGCAGCCAGAATGGGTGCAACAGAGTGACTGCTTTGCTAACACAGCCTGTTTTCTCAGTTGGTGGGTTACTCTTGTATGAGCTGATAGAACAATGGTTCTCAAACTTTTATACGGGTGACCCCTTTCACGTAGCAAGCCTCTGAGTGCGACCCCCCCTTATAAATTAAAAACACTGGTTTATATATTTAACACCATTATAAATGCTGGAGGCAAAGTGGGGTTTGGGGTGGAGGCTGACAGCTCGCGATCCCCCCATGTAATAAACTCACGACCCCCTGAGGGGTCCCAACCCCCAGTTTGAGAACCCCTGTGATAGAACATTAGAATGTTTAACTATTTCAATTTGATTTAGTTACTCTTAGCCATTTCCTTGCCATTGCTTCAGCTTGTAGCCTTTTGAAAAGTGAATCATGTTTAATGCTGTACAGTGACTGGATCATGTTAGCGCCTTTGCACGGGTTTATTCCACCACAGTTAACACAAGAGTATCTTGCTTATTCTGCAGCCAATGCTGTTTCACTAAATGAACATAAAACTATATGATTTGCTTTGTGTGAGCAGTTTATAAGGAACTAACTCATTATGTATTTACATATCTAGAGACCTTAGAGAGGATTTATTTTCTGAGGTTATTTCTTTGAATGATGTTTCTTTTGTAGATTTCTAGATTTTACTTTGTGTCATTTGTCAACATAACATTTGAATAAAATATCTATAAGGAAGCACTGCCTTTGTTTGTTTGTTTGTTTTTACATGTTCAAAATGTAAATCATATGGTACTCCTTAATAATCTCTGGTCAGTGCTAACATAAGAATGGTCCAATGTATGACATCACAGATTGTTCTAAGAGTTGATTAAGTGGTGGGGGCAGTTCTTAAAATGAATTGACATTCCAGAAATTGGCTTTACCAGTGTTTCCTCTAGGCTTTCCCATGGTCCTCAAACTCCATATATTGTGTTCCTTTGTGCGATCATGGAAGGTTGATCGCATCCTACGAATAAGAACTTCATATATATTCAGACATTAGCATGCATTTACATAAAGAACATATGGCAGTGTACAAGGACAGCAAATTGTTGCAGAGAATCTGCCCAGCTATTGTGACCCTAGCATCTCCCAGCAGACTGATGCTGGGGTTAGGGAGCTCCCAGTTATTCCATTCCTGGCCTCTCCCAGCAGAAGGTGATGTGGAGAAAAGAGCAGGAGACTCAGAGTAACTCTATTTCCTGCTCTTGCAGCTACAGGTGCTGTAGGGCCCAGTGGTTTGAAGTGGATTTGCCATGGAAGCTATGGCTGAAAAAACATACTACAAGTTTCAAGTGAAATTTCCCCCGTCTATATGTCTGTGTCTCTCTTCCCTCTCTGTCTCCTTTATCCCTCCTCCCTCTCTTTTCAATCTCTACAATATCTCTGTCTCTCACTCAGTTACACACACCCATGAGAATTTTGGGAGATTCCCCCATCCCTAACTAGAGATCATCAAGGCACCACAGTTTTTTTAGCTCATAACCAGTGTCCTCTGTGTGTCTAAGTTACCTCCTCAGGAGTCCCTATATAGAACTCTGATATATTTCTCATTTCACCTCCCTTACATTCCAAATGACACACTGGGCAGAAATGAGGCAGTTCCCTTTGATCCCTGAAGTTTTAGTGACCAGGAATAGAAACAGAAAGAATAACATTTAATAAAATCATCCCACAGTCCCAAAGTCTGGCGAGATAGTGAGAGGAATTCATGACTTCTAGGGCAAAGACAGACAACAATGATGTTTTTGTGTGTGTGTGAGTGTGTGAGAGAGACAGAGAATCACTCCCTTGGGAGTCAACTAAATTAAAAAGCATTTGCAGTGGCTTTTACTGACCAAGTGATGTTTAATTTTTAAGAGTTAATTTTCCAGTGCTAAATTTATCAGTGAACATGAATTAATATTCAGTGTGCCCATAACTGAGAATTTCCATACTGTTTCACATTTAATTATAATGCTATTTTATAGCTGTTTCTGTAAGCGGGGAATAACATGTATTAAATAGTAATGATATCTGAATTTCTTTCTGGTCATAACTAGGGCTGTCAATTAATCGCAGTTAACTCACACAATTAACTCAAAAAAATTCATTGCAATTAAAAAAATTAATCGCAGTTTTAATTGCACTTTTAAACAATTGAATACCTATTGAAATGTATTAAATATTTTGGATGTTTTTCTACATTTTCATATACATTGTATTCTGTGTTGTAATTGAAATCAAAGTGTATATTATTCTTTATTACAAATATTTGCACTGTAAAAATGATAAACAAAAGAAATAGTATTTTTCAATTCACCTCATACAAGTATTGTAGTGCAATTTCTTTGTCATGAAAGTGCAACTTACAAATGTAGATTTTTTTTTGTTATATAACTGTCCTCAAAAACAAAACAATGTAAAACTTCAGAGCCTACAAGTCCACTCAGTCCTACTTCTTGTTCAGCCAATCGCTAAGACAAACAAGTTTGTTTACATTTACAGGACATAATGCTGCCCTCTTCTTATTTACAATGTCACCAGAAAGAGAGAACAGGCATTTGCATGGCACTTTTGTAGCTGGCATTGCAAGGTATTTATGTGCCAGATATGCTAAACAATTGTATGGCCCTTCATGCTTCGGCCACCATTCCAGAGGACATGCTTCCATGCTGATGACGCTCATTAAAAAAATAATGTGTTAATTAAATTTGGGACTGCACTCTTTGGGGGAGAATTGTATGTCCCTGTAGTGGGGTGGTCACCCGCTTCTGCCCTGAAGGGCTTGAAATCAGCCCTTAAAGAGGGCTGCAGGGCTTGAAATCAGCCCTGGAGAGGGCTGCAGCTCTGAATGCTGGGCTGATTGGGGAAGCAGCCGCAGCTGGGCCACGCCCCAATCAGGGCCCAGCTGGCCCTGTAAAGGCTGGGAGCCAGGAGCAAGGACTCAGTCTCTCTCTGTATTCAGAGAGAGAAGGGCCTGGCTGCAGGGAGCTAGAGACAGAGTACCTGGGTGGAGCAGGGCTGGGGACAGGCTGGGGAGCTCCAGCCTGGAAAGCCCAAGGCTGCAGCCTAGCAGAAGGCCAAGAGGTACTGGGGGTTGCAGAGGGCAGCCCAGGGGTAGGCCAAGGCAGCAGGTCCAAACCCAACCTTACCAGTGATGAGTAGGCTGATACTGCAGTCCACCCCAGGGCATGGGGCTAGATGATGACTGGCAGTAGCCTTATACTGAGGCAAGGTGGGAATAGTAGGTGGGGGTTCCCTGGGGAGGGGAGACCCTAAGACTGAGGGGTTACTGTCAGGGGGCAGCAACCCAGGTAAAAGGGCACCGGGGTCAAGGGAGGGACACGGGGGGGCCAAGTGGAAGTGGGACACCAGCCTGCAGAGGGCGCTCCGGGCTGGAAATCGAGATAATTCCCGGAAGTAACCAGCAGGAGGTGCCACAGGGGTGAGTCCACTCCCTTACAGTCTCCTACTCTGTTTTACCTGCATTTTGCCATATATTTCAGATTATCACAGTCTCGGATGACTAACAGATTTATTTGGGCATAAGCTTTTGTGGGTAAAAAACCCACTTTTTATGCATCTGAAGAAGTGGGTTTTTTACCCACGAAAGCTTATGACAAATAAATCTGTTAGTCTTTAAGGTGCCACCGGACTCCTTGTTGTTTTTGTGGATACAGACTAACACAGTTACCCCATGATACTTGAGTCTCAGATGATGACCCAGCACATGTTCACTTTAAGAACACTTTCACTGTAGATTTCAGAAAACGCAAAGAAGGTACCAATGTGAGATTTTTAACTGACCCCAGGTTTAAGAATCTGAAGTACCTTCCAAAATCTGAGAACTCTTAAAAGACCAACAACTCCGATGCAGAAATGACAGAACCCGAACCACCAAAAAAGAAAATCAACCTTCTGCTGGTGGGATCTAACGCAGATGATGAAAATGAACATGCATCAGTCCGCACTGCTTTGGACTGTTATTGAGCAGAACCCATCATCAGCATGGACGCATGTCCACTGAAATGGTGGTTGAAGCATGAAGGGACATATGAATCTTTAGTGCATCTAGCACGTAAATATCTTGTAACGCCGGCTACAACAGGGCCAGGCGAACACCTGTTCTCACTTTCAGGTGACACTATAAACAAAAAACGGGCAGCATTATCTCCTGCAAATGTAAAGAAACTTGTTTGTCTTAGCGACTGGCTGAATAAGAAGTAGGACTGAGTAGACTAGCAGGCTCTAAAATTTTACATTGTTTTATTTTTGAATGCAGGGTTTTTTTGCACATTTTAGTTCAACTTTCATGATAGATTGCACTACAGTACTTGTATTAGGTGAATTGAAAAATACTATTTATTTTGTTTTTTACAGTCAAAATACTTGTAAACAAAAATAAATATCAAATGAGAACGGTACACTTTGTATTGTGTTGTAATTGAATCAATATATTTGAAAATGTAGAAAACATCCAAAATATTTAAATAAATGGTATTCTGTTATTGTTTAACTGTGCAATTAATCGCAACTAATTTTTTTAGTCGCTTGACAGCCCTAATATGGGACTTGGATGTGCTGGTGTGAACATTGTGGCTCTGGCAGAATTTTAGCAAGTGGGAATGTAAGGGGACTGTTGGCCCCTTACTGAAACTCAGTGGGGTTTTTTGATTGGCCGTCTCCCAGTCCCAAAACAAAGGGGAAGGGCCAATGAGAAATCATGTTCCTGAGACTGACAGTCCCCAGGGCCAATGGAGAGAGGCCAGCACTCCAGAGCAGCCGGATTGACAGGGCAGGTAGGCCAATGAGGGGATCAGGAGCCCAGAGCCCTATCGTCGGTGTGAGCTGGGAGCAGCAGCCAGAACCGGGGGGGCGGGAGAAGCAGGAGCCCGAAGGCAGAGCTGGGCTGGAACCGGGCAGCAGCAGCCAGAACCAGCTGGGGAGCAGGCGCTGGAGCAGCCCAGCCCAGCCAGGCCGGCCTGAGCCCGAGCTGAGTGGTTACAGCCGGGGGGAGCTGCAGGCCCAGAGCTGGGGAGCAGACGCCTGCTGTGCCCCAAGTGACACCGGAGCCGGGTGCGGTGAGCGGCTGGGGGGAGCGAGGAGGACCCTGGGCAGAGAGCCCAGCGCAGG